AAGCAGACTCTCCACTGAGCAGGGAGCCTGACGCGGGGCTCGATCCCAGGACCCTGGGATCATGACCTGAGCCGAAGGCAGACGCTTAACCGACTGAGCCTCCCAGGCGCCCCAGCCTTGTGGGTTCTGAAGACAGGAGACACAGCAAGGATGTTCATTGGAGGCAGCCTGGCTTCCTCCTGCATCTCTTGGGGTCACTTTGCCCTTGTTTCTCATAGATTGTTCACCTCGGGGAAATCAATGAAGCAGCTTGCAATACTGCCTTATTAAAGAAATCGTCACACTGGATGATCCTCAATCATTCCAGCAACAAACACTCCCGCATTTCTGTTCTGGGCCAAAGGGAATGTACGGAACACTTACCTGCAGCCCCTGCCCTCCAGGTGCTCAGAGTTCTTGGGGACAACTGTGCACAGGCACCATATGGAGGCCTGGGAGGCTGGAGCTGAGGGCCCAAGGAGGGAGGATATATAAGGGGTAGTGAGTTCAGGCTGCAGAGCCCAATCAGGTGGGGGACATTGCAGGGTTTTCCCCAGGGGGTTGGCATGATTACTTCTGCCTTTTAGAAATCTCATCCAGGTAGAGATGTGGAGTGTCTAGGGATGGGGCAATAGGAGAATAGGAATAGGAAATATCCCTAAAGTAAAATGGGCAGGACTCAGTGCCTGACTGGGGTGGGGATGTGGAGAAGGAGGAGTCAAAGAGGAGAGTAAAGAGAACTGGAGACCCATCAGGACTCACCTTGGATGCCACTTCCCCCAGGAAGCCTTCTCTTAACCATCCCCACCTCTAGCTGGTGACAGGCCCCTGCTTGGAGCTCCCACTGCCCCAGTGGGCATACACTCTGGCCTCCTTCCCTAGACTCTGGGCTTCATAAGGCAGGGTCTCAGTCTGGCCGCTTAACAGCTGCCTTCCAGGTCCTGGCACAGGGGTCAGGTATGAATCAGGAGCTCAGTAAATATTAGCTGATTGAATAGCTAAATGAATAGAAGACAGAGTGCTGCAGGATCCCTCTCTCCACCTGTCCCTCCAAAGAGAATTGGCCCTTCCCTGCTCAGATCTCCCCTTGCCCCCACCCCAGCTTCCCTGAAGCCCGGCTCCTAGCAAACCCTGCAAGCTCCCTTCCACCTCACCATCCTGCCTGCCTGTTGCATGAATCTCTGCCTCCTGTCTTGGGGCAGGGACTAGGCCCTCTGTGCTCCCTGCTGGTTGTGGTCCCCCTGTCCCTCACCCTCCCCAGCATCAGGTGTATCAGATGGTTAACATCTCTGGCCAGGGGACAGTCACCACTGGGGTGGAAAGAATGAGATGGGGGTAAGGGACTCAGGTTGACCACGTCTCTCACCAACCAGCCCCTGGGCCTGATCATTTGCATCCCTTCCCTACTGACCCCATCTCTAAAATGGCATGGAAGGAGCCCAGCAGGGCCCCCATACCTCATTCCTTCCAGGTCTGGGGCCATCAGGCGAAGTCCTGCCCCAGGTGTCATGATCTGCAGGCGGACAATCTCCTCACCTCTTGTACTGTAGCCAAGGAAGAGAGCCAGGGAGTTGCTGGTAAGAAAAACCTCCCCCTCTTCCCCATCTGTGCCAGGGGTCCAAGGGCATTCTCCCTCAGGAGCCTCCTGGCTAATGCAGTGGGACACCCAGACCCGTTGCCTTTTTTTCCCCCTCTTGTCTCCTCTTTGGCCTTAGGCTTTCTTGGTGCTACAGCTGAGCATGGGCCACTGACCTCCAGGCGCCAGGAGAAGGAGAGTGAAACACCCCTTTACTGATTCCCCCACCCATGAGCCCAGACCCCTTCAGGCACAGCAAGGGGCCTTCTGGGTGGAAACGGGACCGCCCAGCTCCAATGCCCTGTCTATAGCTGCTGCCATGAGGCTACTATCCACTTGCGGAGGTGAGCCCTGGCTGTGGTCCCTCTGGAATGTCCAAAGTGGCTATTTGTGAGGCCAGTGGGAATTCTGGGTATATGGACTGATGGGGACTGATGACAAACAAGATACTCTGGAAACCTACAGACCAAATTTGGAGTGAGAGCCAGTGGGTGTAGGATATCAGAGACTTGGGGCATGAAAGCAAGTGACCAGGTGCCTGTGAGCTGGAGCTCACAGAGGATCAGATATTCTCAGCACTCAGAGGGCCCCTTTGAGGATTCCTGTGCTCAGAACCTGGCCCACAAGTGACCACACACATCCCTCCAAGTCTGATGTACTTTTTGGTTCCACTGCAGGGTCTGATACCCAGTAGGCTTGGGCAATGGTGATGGGCAGAACCAGAAAGAATCTAGAGCTCCCTGGCTTTGTGGGGGGTCCTCTGCATCCCAAACTATACCTCCCCAGCTCCTTTAAGACCCATCCTTTAAGATCATCCTTTGAGACCCAGCCCACTTATAGCAACTAATTCCTTTCTTCAGCTGCCTCTGGGTACTAGGACAGTAGAGACAAGGAGTCCAGATGGGGGTGAGGCCCAGGCCTGCCCTGGTGAAGCCCCCAGCCCAGTGGGGGGCAAAATGGGGGCACAGACTGTGCACAAATCCAGGCCCAAGGACACCTGAGAAGCTTCACGGAGCTATAGTCCCACTGGAGGCCAGCTGGCAGGAGACTTAAATGCTGAAATCAGATCTGGCCAAGGAATGGGCTTGACGTGGGGGGTGAAGGGCTTCACATGATCAGACTGGCACTTTAGAAAGGCCCCTCTGGGGTCCCAGGAAGAGGAAAGGAGGAGCCAGGTCAGTGGGCTGCTTGTCTATGTCCCTCCTCGGACTTGGCTGAGACCTAGCACATTGGAGATGACAAGAGGGAAATGGAAGGGCTTTCAGGGACAGGGTGCCTGGTGCACAAGGGGCAGCTCTGATCTCTGTGTCCTGCAATGATAGCAAAATGATGACAGCATAAAACACCTGTCTGGGACACACCCCACTTGAGAACATCACAGGCAAATAAAACATACTTCTTCACTGGTCTTTTTTGTTATGTCAGAGAGGAAATAGGAACAAAGTATCACCCAAGCCTGTCTAAGCTGGTGCCTCTCCTTCAATGCCTTCGTCCTTCTTTGTCACCCCCTTGAGCAATGCCTTCTTGAAGACCCAGCTCAAATGGCCCCTTTTCCAGGGGGGGCTGTTATGGGTTGCATTGTGTTCCCCTAAAAGATATGCTAAACTCCTAACCACCAATATCTGTGAATGCGCCCTTATTTTGAAATAGGGCCACTGCAGATGTAATTAACTTAAGGTCATACTGGAGAGGAGTGGGTCCTAATCCCAATATGACTGGTGCCCTTATAAAAGGGGGACCTTTGTACTCAGACACATGGAAGGAATATAGCCATGTGAAAGCAGGGGCAGAGACTGGAGTGAAGCGTCTAAAAGCTAAGAACCAACAAGGATTGCCAGCAATACCAGAGGCTAAGAGAAAGGCCTGGAACAGACTCTCCCCCAGAGCCTTTGGAGGAAACACACAGCCATACTGACACCTTGATTTAGGACTCCTGGCCTCCAGAACTGTGAGAGGATTAAGTTTCTGTTGTTTGTGATAACTTATTAAAGCAAATTCATACAGGAGCTTTCCAGCCTCTCTTCTCCTGCAGCAGCCCACCAGCCCCATCCCCTTGCCAGACCTTCAGCCACAGATAGCTCTATAGTCCAATCTTCAGTTGTCAGCTAGCCTGAGAGCTGCTGGAAATCACGGGCACTCATCTAGTGTGGCCCCAGCTGTCTCTGGAAGTACCTCTTTCTCTTGTACCCACAACCACATTTTTCTTTCAGAGGCCAGAAAGGTGGCAATACTGGTCTCTGCATTTGAAGAAGGCCCTGCAGATCAGCAAGCACCCAGGCGCTGTGCCAAGGACTTCATATGCATTATCCCATTTAGAATCTGGGGCAGCCTCAGGAGGTAGGTATTACTACTCACTACTGTATATACGAGGAAACTGAGGCACAGGGGGTTAAAGTACAAGGCCTTGTGCCAGAAGCTGTGCTTTTACTGCTCTCTAGCTTACTCTGCCAGGCAGCATGCTGGGGCACAGCCTACAGGCCTTGCCATGATTGGGTGAGGCAGAAGGCCAAGGAAGCTTGACCAGTGCTCTCATGGGGACAGTAGCCAGTTTCACTGGAAAAGGGTATTTCAACAAGCTCAGTCCAGAAGGTGGGTAAGAGTTATCCATGACAAGGTTAAAGACAAGATGAACCCAAGAAATCAAGCCCCAGGGTGCACGAGGGAAGGCCCCTTCCACAGTTGTGCAGGGAGGTGGGGGGGGTGACAGTAGAGACAAGTAGTTCAGATGTGGATACTTGATGCTGAGAGGCCTTTGGGATGCTAGGCAGGTCTGGTATCTAAGGGAAGGAAAGTGACAGCTGGACAGCCCCAAGGATATAGCCTGTGGGTGTCCTTGTGTGGCACTCTTTCTGGCCCAAACTTTCAGCCCTCCCTGAAGGCCCTAAAGGGTTTGGCACCTAAAACAAGGGCTTCCCTCCTGGTTGGCCCACTGTGTGAGATGGGGAACTTACCTCAGACTTGAGCCAAGGGGTGTGGGGCAACGTCAGCAGGGCCATAGCTGGGGACAAGGCTGTGATGTTCTCCTGCCCCACTCTGCCATAAACCAGCTTTTTCTGAAGTGCCACAGAACCCAGAATTTGGTTGAGTAAGTGCTCCCCACAGGGCTGGGCTCCTTCAAGGACACATCCAGGCCTGGAATTCTCAAATAACCAGGCAGAGCAAAGCTGGGTGTGGGGAACTGATGGTGGCTGCCTGACCTGACCAGTGGGGTCAGAAAGGAAGGCAACCCAGGACCAGCCAGCAGCTCACGTGGAAGCTGTCTGGGGGGTTGCAGATATTTTGTGACTGCAGAATCTGAGGGAAGAAATACTATGAGAAGCATCACACTGAGCCTCCCTGACCAGCCCCTTTTTGCACACTTCTGATGACAACTCCTTCCTTCTTCCCCATTGTGAGACATCTTTGGTGCCTGGAACATTCCATAATCTGGTCCCAGTTTCCTGGGCATCACCGGCAAGTTTGATCTTGGACTTCTGGCCTCCAGAACTGTGAGACAATATATTTCTGTTGTTCGAGCCACCAGTTTGTGGGACTTTGTTACTGCTGCCCTAGCTATGACAGCCAGCTGATGGGTATTAAACATCCACAAGAATTTTCTGGAATAAATGTTAAAATGCCTCTCAAATACATACTACAGCACAACCTAATTCTTCTATGTTCTCTTTTTTAAAAAACATCTGAAACCATTCATTGCTTTTTTTTTTTTTTTAACACAAAACACAAATAAGGAAAAATCAGAGATCTGCACTGTTTGGGGCTGAATTATGTCCCCTCTAAAATTTATATGTTGAAGTTCTAACCCCCCAGTGCCTCAGATTGGGGCCTTATTTGGAAACAGGGTTATTGCAGATGGAATTAGTTAAGATGAGGTTATAGCGGAGTAGGGTGGGCCCCTAATCTAAAATGACCGAAGTCCTTATAAGGAGAGGAGATCAGAACACAGACACACACACAGGGAAGAGCACGTGAAGAGCCACGGGGAGAGGCGGCTATCTACAAACCGAGGAGAGGCCTCCCTCCCAGCCCTCGGAAAGAACCAACCCTGCTTACTCCTTGATTTTGGGCTTTTAGCCTCCAGAACTGGGAGACAATACATTTCTGTTCTTCAAGCCACCCAATTTGTGGTACTTTGTTCTGGCAACCCTAGCAAACTAAGACAGCCCCCGAGTCCCATCAATGCTGCCTTGTGAAGAGCTCTCAAATCTTCCACTTGTTTAAAAGTTCTTACGGACAAAAGTTTACACAAATAGGATCAAGAGAGCGAGGGAGTGAAGAAGAGGGGGCAGTCCTGCTCCTGGGGCTATGACCTCAGGATGGCCTCACACTCCCAGCTCCTTCTGGGCAGAGAAGGTCTGCAGCCTTGCTCTCTTCACCAGTCTGTGCTATGGCAGGTGGCCCCAAGGGACCACGGTCACATACAAATGGTTGTGGGACTTGAACTGGGGAGGGGAATAGGGGCTTGCACTGGCATTATGAGAGCTGGAACAGTCCATGGGCTCCCTGAAAGTGACCTGTAGGAACAGGTGCTCTGCCCCTCTAGCCACAGGATCTTCCAAGGGTGCCATGGAGACATACCACTTAGCAGACTTGGATTTGGACAAAGCCCCCAGTCTAGGCAGGAGCTTCAAACAGCAGCCACAACTGGGAAGTGCTGCTCTCAACAGGACTTAGCTCAATTCATTGCAAAGTACAAGGAGGTATTGATTGCTCTCTATTTGCAGACAAGTGAGCACCATAATTTGCTCAGATACTCGGGGCTCAGAAATCAGAGCAAATCAGGGCCCCGTCTGTAGTGAGATCACCAGTGATCGCCTGCCCTTGCCCTGTCACCCCAGTCCCAGACCATCCCATCTGAATGGCTCACAGGCCAGAGCCACTCACAGCACCCACCTGGGCTCCCAGCTCCCTGCAGGGCTGGGCAGACTCGGCATGCACTCAATCCAAATCGCCCGAGACACTTTGGCAAAGAAGGCAGCTGTGAGCAGGGCTGGGGACTGTGGAGCCTCCTTCTCCAGAGGAGGCAGAGGACACAGTTGGCGGGTTGAACTTGGACAACTTACAGTACAGCTATAAACAGGCCCAAGAATGGCAGGGCTAGGACCCTGATGGTAGGCCCTCTCAAACCCCATGATTAGTACAGTTTCCTAAGATGTTGTGGCTGCCACTGGTTTAAGTTAACGCAGATAAGCATCAAACAGACAAGAGTGACATACTCTCCCTGGACACCGGACTGTTTTGCTCCATTCAGCCCTAGGACATTCAGCTAGACAGGCTCTTACTGATTTCTGTGCCCCATCTTGTCACTGGGCACATAGGGACAGTGACCCTGGGGCCCTGCAAGGCGGTAACCTGGCAGAAGTTCTACAGGCAGAGATGAGTGATTGTTTACCTGTTTGAGCCAGGAGGGGATCTTGCTGGAGTAGGTGGGTCTTGGCTCTTCTCAGAAGGCCTGTCCTCATCCACCACCTCAACCCTTGGGGCAAGAAGAAAAGCAGATGCACTGCTTGTCCCCTGTGGTGTGTTCAGCTGCCCTAGAACTTGCTGCTCCTGAAGGACATGCTTTCTTTCAGTGGTGTCTATGGCCAGGAGGTGGTTCAGCCTGGAGGCTTAGCAACTCCAGTTTGGCATAAGGACAGCATATCAGGTTGAATAGTGTGGCTTTGAACCTGTGAATGTGACCTTATTTGGAAATAGGGTCTCTGAAGATGTAATCAAGTTAAGATCAGGTCACACTGGAGTAGGGTGAACCCTAAATCCAATGACCAGTGTCCTTATAAGAAGTGGGATATTGGACACAGACACACAGAGAAAAGGTTCATAAGATGATAGAGGCAGAGAATGGAATGATGTGTCTACAAGCCAAGGAACGTCAAGGGTTGCCTGTGGTCACCAGAAGCTGGGAGAGAAGCCTGTGAGTTTCTCTCTCACAGGCTCCACAAGGAACCAGTCCTGCTGACACCTTGATCTTGGACTTCTAGCCTCCAGAACTGGAAGACAATACCTTTCTGGGGTCTATGCCACCCAGTTTGTGGTACTTTGTTGCAGCAGCCCCGGGAACCTAATACAGCCAGTAAGAGCACACCATCGATCTGCCACTGCCCTTTCCTGGTATATTCCAGTCTTCAGCTCGCTATGCCACCTCATCGCAGATGCCTTCTTTGTTTACCTCAAGGAATACCCCTAAAATTCAACCTTCCAGAAGTTTCTTCCTTGTGCTCCCCAAAGAGTCTCCTCTCCCAGAAGATGTTCTGTCTCAACTAATGGTGACACTCCTCCCTCATTCAGCTGGAGTGACGTAACATCCCGATCATTCCCTGTTGAACCCTGTTCACCCTTTAGGGCCCATCTCTAATGTTACTGTCACTTCCAAGGGCCTGGCCAGGCAGAGGCTCCCAGTGACAAACCTCTGGACCCCAGCCCAATAATCCCTCCTGCCAAGGCATTGTCCGGCCTGGTAGTTACATTTCCTTCAAAACCTCAGAGGCCCTCGGAAACACTATGACTCTACTGGGGGTCGGCAGCCTAGCCCCTCAGAACTTCCCACTCTGCGCCTGCTTTCCATGGCGCCCATACTCCACCCCTGCTGGAAGGAGACCTTCTCTGTAGCCAGCAAGAGGCTTCCAAGGCTTCGCTTGCTGACGTTTACCTCTTCGCCATGAATGGGGCCTGCATCTCCTGGGTAGGGCTGCTGAAAAGGAAGCAGAAAGGCATCGTGTTGGACAGAACCCGTGGACAGGTGGTATCATGACCACTCTGCTTTACAGGGACCTGGGCTTCTCTCTCATTCCTAGTACCTCACTATTCCTGATGGCAGGAGCCAGACCTCTCAGTTTTCCAGAAAGTACATCTGAGGATCCCAGAATGTCCGGCTAGGAGGGTTCTCTCAATCAGCCCCTCACTAGCCAAAGGAACCCTGGAGCCCGGACGGGAAGGGAGCCACTTGGTAGCTGAGCCGGCCCAGAAGCCAGGCCCTGCTCTGTCTCCTGCTGTGTAACTCACCTGGTGCTCTTCTTGGCTGCTGACAGAACATAGGAGTGCTCCCGGGGAGCTGTCTTCCTCACCACACTGCTTGCAGCCTCTGACCTGGGGTGGCACAGGGAGGGGGCATCTAATGGCATAAGGCAGGACTCAGTCTGCTAGCATAGCCCAGAGAGGCAAGCACATGAAGCCAAATTAGCACCTGCTCCCAGAACTATGCAAAGGAAACAGAGAGACATATGAGGCCCGGCCCTGTGCTGGATGCTGCCCATCCATGGTGTCTCATTGAACGCTTACAACCCAGGAAGGTAAGTGCTAGTTTCACCCACAATTTACAGATGAGGAAACTGAGGCACAGGGAGCTTTAGTGACTTTAGAGACTACACTCCTAGCCGGTGGCACAGTGGACAGTCAGTGCCCAGCAGCCTGGCTCCGGAGCTTCTGGCTATTCCCCTATACCTGCCAGGCCCAGGGACTTCTGCCCTTAGGATTGCCCATCTGCCAGACCCTCAGCACAGGAGCTTCACGAAGCCCAACAGACATTGGGACTGGGGTCAGGCTGAGCCCACAGGGGTTTTATTTCCTCAGGGCCTAGCTGCTGCCGAAGCACCTGGGCCTCATTTGGGGGTGAGGGGCACTGGCACGTCTGGAGCTCTGCCCGGACTCTGTACACACAGCACACACAGACGGCTCCTCCCGGGGGCATGGACGGTTTTGATCCAATTTGCTCAGGACCCCTTTTTAACAAACTGATATAAAGTCTCAAAGCACCTCCCTCCCTACAGTCTGTCCACCCACGGTTGAGGCTGTCCCCAGACCCTCATTACCTAGGCTCTGCTCCAGAAAAGGTTCATAAGAGAATTAAAGGTTCATAAGAGGGTCCCCAGCTGGCACAATTCCCATGTCACTGGTCCACGCAAACCTGGGCCCCTGCCCTGCCCGTGGGACGCCCAGCAGGCACCGTTACCTCCGTTTCTGCTCGTCAGACGAGAAGGGCACCTCCTCCTCTTCAGCAGCCCCTGATGCTGAGCTGCGTCTGACATTGTAGGGTGCCCTGGGGGAGGGGGAGGGGTTGAGCATACTGTTGGTTGTGGCCCCTCCTCCCCCATCTCTGCCCCTGCTTCCTGTCACGGGCTGCCACCCTCAGTAAGGCTTCCTGACTTAACAACCACAACAGCACCTGTTGGCATTGTTGCCTCTGAGCCTTTGTTCACACCACTTCTTCCTCCTCAAGAGCCAGCCCTCTTTTCTCTCTTTATCCCAACCCTAACTGTCCCTCAAGACCCAGTCCAAGCCTCTCCCCTTCTCCAGAAAGATTTCCTAGCTGCTCCATGTCACTGGATGATTGTGACAAGGGATAGAAAGCAATATAAAAATGTGGGGCCCCTGGGAACTATAGGTACAACCCACACTTCTGTCCAGAATCCCCCCTCCCTGGGCACATAGTGGGGGGCTTCTTTGATAGGGGCCAGAAGGGGAGCCCCAAAGATTTGTATCCAAGAAGCAGCTCAGATTTCAGCACAAAATGCCAATAATGGATAGGCTCATAAGGCCCCAGCCCAGCCTAGCTTGAACCCCAGAGGGGTGCAGAGGCATGTCCAGGAAACAGAGCTAACCAGCAGCGGCCCCAGAGCCATGATCCGTGACACTTTCTCCAGACCCACTGGCCCCTTCAATAAGCTTCTTTACAGCCCTTGCTCTGCCTCAGATCAGAAGGGCAATGTGTACAGCTGTCCGGCTTTCTGGGGTTTGTCACCTCCTTGGTAAGCTCCAGGTCACAGCGGCAACTGGCAGGAATGTCAGGCTGGCAGGACTGGCACTCCTGGGCCATGCTCAGAGGCAAGCAACCAGCTGCCCTCAGCTGGCCTGGTGTTTGGGCTGGTCCTTGGAGGAGGGAACTGAGCTGGGTCTGCAATTGCGTACTTACAGCTTCTTGTAATCCTCAGTGGTCATCTTATAGCCAGAGGAGGAGGGGCGGGGAGGCCCAGTAGGAGCTGCTCTCAGTAGACCGGTAGCACTGGAGAGGAAAGGAGTTCCCATGTGCCCACTCCCAGGCCCCCTCTTGCTTCCAAATCTGCCCACATGGCCCAGGAGGCATGTGGCTGGTGGCCTTTCCTCTTTTCTCTCGGCCCTGCCAGCCACCCAGGACATCTGCACCACCCTGAGCAGGGCAGCTCTCCTGCCATGGGTAGGCTCAGGCCCGTTGGCCCTGCCTCTCTGATGGAGCCCAGGTTCAACTTGACACCAGGGTGCTTTGATGATGATGTGTCACCTCAGTCTGCTGGGAAGAAGGTGGACTAAAGCACACAGCTCGGTGCGGTCGGCCAGCAGGTCAGCTGTGAAGCCTGCCCAGCCTCCTCCCTGTGTCTCTGCCCCAGTGACCAGGGCCAGTTGGGTAGTGGCCCAGGGTCTCCCAGAGACATGGCTACTGGGAAACCCAAGTGTCCAAACCGGACCATACATCCACCTGGGGGCTTTCTGTCCCAGCACTGCTCTCCAGGGCCCTGACCTACACAGGCAGAGAGAGCTCCCACCTACCACCCCTCCTGCCCGCTCGCCTTAGTGACAGGAAGAGTAATCTCTCGGCCACGAGCTTGGCCTAGGCCCTCATACCTGCTGCTTGGCCTAGGCCCTCACCCCATGGACACACACCTTTTTGGAGCTCCGTTGGCCTTGGGGAAGTGCTGCTGGGGCTGACACGAGCTGTCTATGGGCTTGGTGAACACTCCCCTAAAAGAGAGCCCAGAAGTAGTCCAGTGAGCTCCCCTGTGAGAAGCCTGGGAACAGTGCGGGCAGGCATAGGGAAGTGGGCAGGGTCCTGTGGTCACCTACCGGATGATATAGCCAGTGGGAGCCCTCGTGCTTGGAGGCCTGCCAAGGGAAAAGAAGGTATGAAGTGAGGCAAAGATGCCCTACTTTCTCCTGCACCCAATGACAGCAAAGTGGATTGGCTGGTGGGTGTCCAAGTGCGGTCAGAATGAGGGCAGCAAGAGGGGCAGCCACCCCTTCACCCCAAGCCACGGTGCCTGCTCTGCTCTGCCCATCTCTCTCATGCTCCGCAGGAAAGGTACCTATGGCTGATTCTTCCAGGACTGGCCCAGTATGGTCCTGGCTCACACCAAGTGCCCAGGAAGCTGTACTCCATGGCTGAGCATTTGCTGAAGAGGGTTCTCCTGCAAACTCCAGCTTTTTCCTGGCCTGCCAGGGCCCAACACTCCCGTGAGAAAGAGGTCTTTGGGGATTGCTGACAGCCCTCTCACCCTCTACTCTCAGAACTGGAGGCTCCATGGTCAGAGGCCTATGGCGGGGAGAGTCCATGGTCTCTGACCTCATATCTCTGCACAGCCTCCTTTGGAGAGGCTCATGAGGGCCCAAGGGGTAGAACTAAAGCCAGATACCCCTTCCTTCCTGCTCCTTGGGGCTTCCCTCCTGCAGCTCCTGAGACGCCCACATCACTGTCTTGATGAAAGTTCGGGACTGGAGGGCATGGCTGGAAAACAGACTGCACATGCTGGGTACCTCCTCCTTGGGAGCAACTGAGGGGGCTCAGAGGACTGGTAGTGGCAGGCAGCCAAGAGCTGTGAGTTTGGGGTGCAGGGGCAGGAGACAAGGATTCGGCAGATGGCCCTTCTGGGTAGGAACAGAGTTTAGTGCTGGAGCATGGGTGGGGGGAGTGGGTCTAAGGGAACCCCATGCAAGCAGGTGGGAAGGACAGCACAGAGCCCCAGTGTTCTCCATCTTGATAGATCCTTGTCCTTAATAGGGACAGCCTCCTGGAAGTGACAAAGTTGCAAGAACACTTGGGGTGGGACCTGAGAAAGAAAGGTCGCTTTTCCCCCATCTAGCCACACAACCATTTTTGGCTAAAATACCTGTGCCTGGGAGAGAATGAGAGCCAAAGTTTATGTAGACTTTCAGGTATCCCTGCTCTAGGCCCTGAGTCACAGTGCCCCGGGATGTGCTTTCCAAACATACCTCCAAACAGAGGCTCAGGGTGAGAACTGCGCCACCCAAAGTAAACAAGCCCCCCAACGAGTAGACTATCTTCGAACCGTCCTCAGGTCTTCAGCAACTTTGCCAACTGCGGCAATCACAATCCAAAATTCTCTCTTTTATGATCATCTCTCTTCTTGGGTCATGCCTGTGTTCCCCGCTAAGATGTCAGTTCCCTGAGGGGAGAGCTGTGTCCTCTGTGCCAAGCACAGGACTTGGCTGGTAGTGGGTGCTGAGTCAGCGAACAGTGGTGATGGGCAAGTCCATAATTATCAGAGCATCCCTAGACACCGATATGTGGAAGTCCTCAAAGTAGAGACGTGATGGGCTGTTCCCTTTGGCTAGCTGTCAAAATAGGTCATCCTGAACTTGGGAGACCGTTGGAACAAATGTGTGAGTGTCCCGTAACATGCTGATTACCAAGTATCCTCAGCAGTCAGGGCTCCCCATGGGAGAGAGTCAAGTGTGACTCTCAAAGCTGCCTAAACCACCTCAGAGATGTTGTCTCACCCCCTACGGGGGCTTCTCAATGTCTAGTAGACAGCTGGAACCATGGAGGCCCCTTAGGCAGCCAGCTTCAAGGTCACACGGCAAGGCCAGGCGCCTGAACCCAGTGACTCCTGCATTCCCTTTCCCAAGGGGGACCAGAGCAGAAAAGCCTGTCCTTCCTATGCATTTGAAATGACTCACTGCAGACCCTGACATCTCTTCCAAGCTTGGGATCCCCCTTATCCCCTGAAGACTGCAGCATGAGGCCCACCCACCAGCCATCTGGGCACCACCTCTTACCTGGCCTTTGGGACTTCCCCAGCTGATGAAAAAGATGTGGCACGACTCCGACCAGAGGGCAGCTCTCTGGGGAAAAAGAGTCGTGAAAAAGTGGCTCCCTACCATCAGCCACCCTGCAGCCTCCATCCTAGAGGCTGCCTGCTGACTCAAAGCAGGTGAGGTGGGGTGCAGCATTCTCATCTCACGTTCGCCTTCCTGTATATACAGGCCCACCCAGCACCCGAAGTCACAGGGTGAGTCTGGCCTCAGCTGGATTGCTTTCCCATGCTTCGCCCTCCCCAGCTGGCCTGTGGCCACATGGCCCGGCAGAGGTCTGAATGGTAGAAGTCCCTCAGCATCCCCAGGTACTGACAGGCCCCTGTGGATCACAGGCCCACCCCAGCCCATTTTTGCTGGCTTCCCAGCTTCCTGGACTTACAGAGTGTGCCCCTCCGATTCAGCCTGCTTGGTGATCCAGCTCTTGTCCCCCTTCAGTGTGGTTCGAACCTTCATCTGTTTGAGGACATTATTGCGTTCTTCCTCACCTGGTGGTAGGGGCTTCCCTGGAAGGAGCAAGGCCAGGCAGCCTCAGAAGGGGAGCCCAGCCCCAGAACCCTGAGGCCTCCCTTCCAGTCCTCCCAATGTGCCGCTCTCACAAAGCCTGGGACAAGAGGGAGCCCAGGCCTCACCTTTAGAGCTGCTTCCAAGAGCCGAGATACTCATGGTGTTTGCTCTGCAGATCCCTTCTCAGTTGATTCGACAGGGCTCCTGGGGGCAAAGGCAAGCACATGGCTTGTCACTTGATGCATTTATAATGGCTCGCAAGACCATCCCGACGGGCCTTTCGGCATTGGGAAGCAAGAGCTGGTGCAGTTCTGGGTAGTGGGCAGAGGCCAGGGAGTGAGCACACACTGTCTGCCTAGAGCTGTTCCCCTGCGGAACACGGCATGGGCTGCCGGGGCTGTCTGTTCAAGAGATAGCTGATAAGGGCAGGCCACGAACCCTCCTAGAGAGCTCTGATGGCCAGATTCCAGGAGCAGGGGAGTGCAGGGGACAGAGTGGCAGCGGTGGGGCCACCACAGAGTCAGGCTTCCTGAGGGCTGGCACTGGTGGGCTCAGAAAGAGGGACTAGGGGAAGGGTGGGGGCTGGGAGACCAGCTGCTTTGGGGCCGGACCACCTCTCTCACTCTTCAGTTGCTCACAGACTTTGGGCTGGCCAGCTCACCTCTCCAGTCTGCCTCAGTGTCCTCATTTGTAAAGTGGGATTGTAAAACGTCTACCCTTCAGGACTGCTATGAAGGCAGAATGCACCAATGTTCTTACAAATGCCTGGCACCCCCTGGCACAGCAAAGATCTCAGGGCAGTTGGACAGGAGCCAAGCAGCAGTGACTCTCAACCTGTCCTCGCGGGGAGAGGGAACCGTCAGTGGTCTTCAGTCAGTATAAGCACAGCCTGAGGGCGTGCAGCCCTGCGTGGCTCAGGGGGGTTGGCTAGTTGTAAGGACTTGCTGCTATGCTCTGCTTTCTTTCTCTCCCTCTCCGTATTCTTGCACTGCTCTCCCTCCTTGCCTCTTCTCTGCCCTTGAGCCACGTGCTTCCCTCCTGTGGCCAGCGAGGGGTGGACCACAGTGGTCTCTGAGGCCTTCACAGCACCATGAACGTCTTTGCCCCAGAAGGGGCTGGGGTGAGGAAGCCAACTCTCCAAGCTGGGACTGGCACAGTGCCTCGGGGAGATGGAAGGCCCATATTGTGAGTTTAATCCCAGCCCTGGCCTGCCACAGCTGGCCCCTTGGACCTCAAGAGAAGGGCTGGAGGTTCAGGCAAGCGGGCATGATGGGAAGGAGGGGCTGTGGCCCTGCCAGAACAGTCCTGAGGCACAGCAGTCTCCCTCTTAGGAGCCTGCCACCCTCGGGGCCTCTCCAGGGCCAGGCCCAGAGTGGCCAGGCCCTGCTGCCAGCTGGCAAGGCCTGGACATGTTTCCTTAGAGGTCAGGGGCACACTAAAATAGGTAAGGCAAGGGCCAAGAGCAAACCAAATCTGCCGCATCAGCAAGAACTGGCTTTCCCATAAACCACACTGAATGAGCAGCCCAGGAGGCCCAAGCCTGCTGCTTGCCAGGAGCGGCACCTCATCACTGCCCCACTGCCCAGCCCCTGCCCAAAGCTGCCACGTCAGATTTCTATTGAGCGGAACTCATTCCATAGGTGATCTGTGGACCTCATAGGTCCAACTGTCCCATCCCAGCAGCCCATGGAGTAGCTCCACTGGGCAGGGCACACAGACAGAGTTGCCACCTGGGATCTTGGCCTCTCAGTCTGCCGGTGCTTCTGATTGACTGTGAGACCTTGGGCAAGTCCCTTACCTTCTCTGGGCCCCAGCTCAGGGCCTCTCCTACTGCTGAGTCTTTAGGTTCCTTCAGGAAGTCTTCAGTTTCCCCTTGACAAACCTGTTGCCCACACTGCCTAGAAGTTTTCTGCTAGATCAGAGCCAAACCAGCTACCTCCAAAATCAGGACAGATGTGCACACATGCAGAATGACAGAGGCAGAGGGGCCACTGGGAACTCCTTGGCCAAAGGGCAGGGACACGTGTAAGAGCCCACAGTAAGGAGGAGTGGACTTGTCTTAGGTCCCATCTTTACAGCTAAGACCCCAATCACAAGACTCAAGTCTTATTGCCCCCACCTCACCAGGCAAAGAGCAGGGCTGTGCCACATCTCAGAAGTCTAAAGTTCTTTTTTGATAGGATAGTAAATCTGAAAGAGGGAGGAAATAGTGTCTTCCCATGGGATTAAAGAAGGCAGCTCTTTGGAGAGCCTTTAAAATGATGAACCCCAGACAGACACATGGACACATGCGGTCTGAATTCATGTCCCAACTACAGAGCTGCCTTTCCCCTCCACTTCCCCACTCCCTCCTCTCCCTGCCCCACACAGCCCTGGACCCCTGCTTTCATTCCTGCACCTTGGCCCACATCAGCCCTCGTTTCTCATTCAACTTCTGCTGGCTCTCCACTGTCTCTAAGCCTGGGGGCAAACTCCCCAGTCCCCTGACCCAGCCACTTTTCTCACAAGTGTCCCTCGATGTTGACACTGTGCTCCAAGAAGACAATGTCTCTCAACATACCTGGAAGGTGGCCCTGCCGTGGTAATCCCTATGCCTTTGCTTATGTTGGTACCCCCCCCCTCCCAGAATGCCCTCCAACTCCTCTTGCTGAGCTAAGCCCTGCCCCTTCCTGGAGGGCCCACTTGTCTTGCCTGTTCCTGCTCCTACTGGGCTCTCCCCTCTTTTGACCTGAGTGCCTTGGTACTGTTGATCGAAGTCTTCCCTAACAAGACCTGCTCTCTCTACCAGCCTCAGCAAGGACAGAACCCAGGCACCCCCCTCACACCACCAAAACACACTCTGCACTGAAAGCTGGCAGGAGCCATGCTTCTGGCTAACCAAACATTGCCACCCCTCCTTGGACCCAGGTCTCCTCTCAGACCCACCATCCCCTTCATCCCCAATCAATGGACAGCTGGGTAAACCCTCACTACAGACAGGCAGCTCTCACGCACTGTTGGTGGACAGGTCAATGAACACATCTTTTCAGAGGACAAATCTCTATATGTACTGAAAGCCTTAGACAGGGTAAGACCATTGGTCTTTCAGCTTCCCGTCACAGCAATCTCTCCTCAGGAGACAAGTGAGTAAGGAGAACAAAGTATACTAGAGGGGTGGTATCCCAGTGCTGAGTATAATGGTGAAAATTAGGCAATAATCTAAATTCCCAACAGTCATATTTAAACATATTCTGATCCAGTATTCAAGCAACTACTATGTAGTCATTACAAATGATATTGATATATAGTGGTATTTAACAAACCTTCCTATATATGGTTTCCTTATATCGTTAAGTGAAAGAAAGCTTTAAAAAAAAAAAGATGTGTAGAGGGGCACCTGAGTGGCTCAGTTGATTAAGCGTCCAATTCTCGGTTTCAGCCCAGGTCATGATCTCAGGGTTGTGAGACTGAGCCCCAGGTCGGGCTCCATGCTCAGAGCAGAGTCTGCTTGAGATTTTCTCTCTCCCTCACCCTCTGCCCCTCCCCCACTCTAAATAAATAGATAAATAAATAAAATCTTTAAAAAAAAGATGTGAAGGATGGTGCCATTTACTTAAAAATCTATGTACATTACGATGCACAGGGAAAGAAACATCTGGATGGATATATACCAAAATACTTCGCTCTTCTGTGTATTCCATTTTTCCTATAATGGATGTGCATTGCCTGTGTGATAAAGACTAAACAAACAGTGGCTTAACCAAAGGAAACGGGAGCTGGGGCTGCTTGGATATCTAATGATGGACCTCAAAAGTTGATGCCAGGTGAGCAGTGCTGAGGAAGGACTGGGAAGTGAGGAGAGCCAATGGATGCAGCGGAGAATTCTCTCCCTCCCCCAGGGTAGACATCCTGGATGGGGGGGGGGGTTGTACCTTGGGCCTCTAGGGACCCTCTGTGCTGCTCTGAGCAGAGCCTTGCCACCTGCAGGCACACACACGACCTCCTCTAGGATCCTGGGTCCTCTTTGCCCACAGCTCACGTGGGAGGGAGAACAGGCATGTTCCCACTCTACTTCTAGTCTTCCTCTTCTTCTGGGCACTTGGGCTTCCTTCAAACCCTCCTAGCCCCCCCTGGCATGTGAGACCTGCCATCCAGAAGGGCCACCTGGTCTGACAGCTCACATCTTTGCTCCTCTATCCCATAGTTTGGGTGTCATGATGTTGGTGGGTGTCCTCGTCTCCTAAATGGCACATGTGAGTGCATTTCTAGTCAGGACAGCCACTCTGCACCTTTTCAGTACTACAGCTCCTGCTTCTACCTTGATACAGAAAGTCTGCCGGTACCTTAGGAATTGCCATATTGCCCTGCTTAGGGGCCTAGCCTGGGCCACCAAAGGAACAGGTGGCTTATCTGCCACCTTTCACCCTAGCTATCCCTCATAGAGCAACTCCTTGTGCCAAATCCAAGCAAGGCCCTACACGCAGACTACACCAGCCTGTCCCAGGGCAGCTCAGGACTAGGTCAAAATCCTCCTGAGCAGGCCAGGCCACCTCAGACACTAGATGGGTGCCTCCAGCCCACCATTTGGCCCTTCACATCCTTCTTTCTACCCTTTCTGCCCCCCATTAGCCCACAGATGTCTCCTGGGGCGACCAGGGGGAGCATCCTTAGCAAGAATGAGTGGGGGAGATGGGGACAGGCCCTCCCTGATGGAGATGGCCTCCAACTGCACCTTCCTACAGCTGAAGCCTCTCAAAGGCTTTCCAGCAACTTCCCAGGAGGGGCCTCTGGCCCTGATTAGATAGAGAGAAGCAAAAAGCCAATGAGGGAGTGCAAGGAGCCTGTTTTCCCCAGGCCACAGCAAGCCTGGTGTGGTCAGGGAGTGGAGTTGGAGCTGATGCAGGCAGATTAGCAGGAGGGAGGGAGCCAGGGAATTGGAAGACAGTGACGCAAAGGCTTGGCTGATGCACAAGGAGACAGAGATGGAGAGAGAAGCAGCAGGAGGAGGGGTGTCCCATCACCCCCCAAGGACAGGGCGTGCTCTGCCTCATAGATGAGAAGGCTAATTCAGAGAAAATTTTCTAGAATTGCCACCCTGCTTGACTTTCCATGTTGTGCACACCCTTTTTCTCAAACAGGCTTCGGTGTCTTTGCCCTTGCAGCTACCTCCTTGCCAAATGGCCTTGAGCCTCAGCCCAGGCAGCACCTCCCAGAGGAGCCCTC